TTTTTTTTTTTAAAGTCTTTGCTACAGTACCTAGGACTGCACCCCTATACATAATTAACAATCATTCCTGAAAGATCTGTATTTGGCACCAGTTTGTGTTCACCTCAAACACCTGTGGGAAGGATTAATTTCAAATCAAATTTGGTTTTTTAACAGAATAGGAGCTGCCATCATGAAGCCAATTAGCTGAATTATTGGAGAAGCTTATAAAACAAAACAAAAAAACAAAAGTCCTTATCTTAACCAACACATTACAGAGAGAGCTCCAAAACAGAGGTCAAACATTAAAAGGCTGATATAGGCTCAAGTGGTTTATAAAACCTATAAAAAAAGACTACACCAGCACATACGCCCTTTCAGTCCACGCAGTTTAGAAATTAACACAGGGAGCAACTCGCTAGCTGGAAATCTTGTCATGGGAGAACCACATATATACCAACAGGAGTACCCAAAATCAAGTGTTAAAACGCTCCAATTCCCAATCCACGTAAAAGGAGAGAGGTTTGTAGGAAGATTAAATCAATCCATGATATCATAAACTGGTTGGGCAGTTCAAACTTCCCCCAGCAACCACTTTGTCACTCATACACACAGGCTCACATGTACACGGCTCAATCCCATTCAAATTCCTCATGGAATAAAAGGATCCCAGGCTCTATTGAGTCTTTCCCTATCATGCAAGAAATAAGTCTGGCTGTGCTTTAATCACCATCATGTATTACTTCAGCCACAGAGTACCAGGCAGATTAAGTAGAAATGCACAGTTTTTAGCTGATCATCTCTGCACAGGTGTTGGAGAGGCTCAGTTCCTGGAGAGTTTGGAGGGCAGGCCCAGTGTGTCTCTGTTCATGCAGACTCGCTGGCCTCCACGGCTTTGATCATGTGGTCGGGTTTGTTGCCCGCAGCGTAGTGATCCCACATCTGCAGGTAGAGCCGCTCCAGGTCCATCGTGTACTGCTTCGTGTTGAACAGAGGGCTGGATATTCTCTGCTTCCACACTTTGCCACGGATTTTTTTCAGGCTACAAAAGAGAGTTAAAGCAGTCATGAGATGTTCCAGACAATACATCATACTGTTTACCTCTGAAACCTGCTGCTTTCAGCTAACCCAGAACTGTCTGTACAAATGTTTCACAAACACCTGCTCCCCACCTCCACCCAATTCCTGTTCTATCTCCTCTCATTTCTGATACAGACCAGCACAATTACTTCAAATCAGAAGAGCTGCAACATCAACTTGCTGCATTATCTGTAAGGCAGTAAACACTTTACAGCATGATTTTAATTTGAAGTGACAAACTGCTCAATCTTCTGTTTAAAAAGAATAAAACTGTATTGCACTTTTGCATATAAGCAGTTTCTTCAGAATTGTTACTCAATTGGGAGTGTTGTTAAGTTACCATAAAAGCAGAAGCTGATTTAACTGCAACACAAGACACCTCTAGAAGAGGACTGCCCAGCTATTTTACATATAAAATATCTGCAGGATTAAAACTACTGATGCCTCAGCACTGTGCCCAAATACTCTGCATTCTTGATGCTCCCACATTCCAGAGTCCAAGTTTGCTTACTATTCCAGGTCAGTTCCCAGTTTCACAGCAATATCCTCATACTCCTGTCTGCTTTTTGCAATGAGCTCAAGACAACCCAGGCAAGTGAGCTGTGAGGCAGCAACTCGTGAGGCCAGAGTCTCGCCTGAAGAAAAGAAAATCAAAGGCACATCAAAACCAACAAAAACAACCAGGAATGAGTTCATCAAGTAACTTATCACACAGGAGCTAGGAGCTATAGGAGCTACTTTCCTTCTGCCTCTACAAAAGGCACAGTTTGATGTGTTTGCTTCCATTACTAATTACTAATTAGTAAAAAATTACTAATATTCCAAGCCATGTATTCAATGTAGGTTCCCTGCTGCATTACCTGGCATAGTGACCATGGGAGTCCCAGCCCAGAGCACATCCATGCCAGTTGTGTGCCCATTGCAAAGGGGAGTGTCCAGACAAACATCAGCCAACTGCCCTCTCCTCACATGCTCTTCTTTGGGGGCAACAGGTGAAAAGATGATTCGGTTTTGGGCAAGGCCCAAGTTTTGTGCGTACTGCTGGATATTGGGCTCTCCTACAGCTGGGAAGCGCAGCAGCCACAGCACACTGTTGGGAACTCTTTTAAGGATCTGTAACAAAAATAAGAAGAAAATACAGGAAGTTCAGAGAAGAATATTTACTTTTCTAAACAAGGAATTGCCACATACTAAAATGAAGTGGAAGGCGTCATCATTCTTTGAGGTATAGAGCAGAAATTAAAGAGATCATCGTTATGAATGAGATCACTGGGATTGCATTTCTAATCCCACTGAAAGAGACAGCAACTCTGAGCAACAGTGTCCAGAGCAGTTCCTTAAGAGGGTAAGTACTGAACTTTATGATCTCATTTATACAATACACTGTAAGCTGGAACCTGATAAAAATGCCCTCCACTCACATTTATTAATATAACTGGTCTTGGCATTTGGTACAACTCAACTGCAGAAACTAAGGAAATCCAAAACTATTTCACAATAGAGAACTAGCATACTTAAGCGGTGCCAAACATAAATTTTGACTGGCTAGATACACAGATAACAACTGGAAATACATCTAAAATCCTCTATATGCTACTAACACTAAGCCCTGCGACATGAGCACTGTAGGATTCAAATCTCTCAAGGTCAATGTTTTCCACAGAGAAGTTCACTTGCATGAAGTTTCTGCTAACTTGAACAGCTTTGCCAGAGTCTGACCTTAGATTTCCTGCTGGATACAGATACTCACATTAGCCCACATCTGCAAGGTGGAAGGATCAATCTTATAGAGCTGATTGAAGTTACAGTACACAACAGCATCCTCTGGTAGGCCGTACTGAGAACGGGTAGTGACAATTATAGTCCGTGGAACTTCTTCACCAGTTGCTGCTTTGTTGTTTATCTAAAATAATAAAAAAAAAAAGTACTGAAACACTGAAACTGCAGGAAACAAGACTAAGCCCTGTGGAATTGCCCTGAGACACATTTGTTAGCATAACAAATTCTGTAAGTACATCTTTGGTTTTATGATACAAAACAAAATTGTCTACTTACCCACAGCAAGAATTTAACTGGTATGTGTACACGTTTGTGGATGCCACAATGTTGCAACCACCAAGGCAAAAAACACTGGGCATTTTCATGCCCTTCCTATATCTCCCCGAAATTCCAAGTAACTGGAATAATTGGAAAGAAGAATCATATAAAGAGGCATTACACATGGAATCCTATCCTCCTTAAGGTCACGTAATTTCCTTGAGACCAAAAATGAAATTAAAACTGAAAGACAGAATAAAAAGGTATTTAGAAAGCAAAGCTGAGGTTTGGTTTGTTTGGATTTTTGTGGTTTATTTTTGGGTGGGTTTTTTGTGTGTGCTTCTCTTTTTTAAGATAGAACACAGTAAGCACTGAACAGATAATCAATAGAGGCAGACTCGTATGTAACTGATAGGACTGTAAGGAACCAGTTGACAAAGAAAATAATGAAAATGCTGAAAATAAGAAGAGTTAATGACAAACTTTTGAAAAGCCTTCAAAAAAACAGGAATATTCTAATAAAAAGGAGCAGAGGATGAAGTTGGAATAATCAAGTTACCATGCAAGAGTCTCGAGGATTAGTAAAATGGAAGCAGGATTTTTAATTCATGACAAGCCACAATGGGATCAAAATCAGATAAACAGAGAGGCCAACACAGCTACTCAGAGCCTTTTTCTGTATATATGTGTATTTTCACATACATAGGCATTAAAAATTTAGATAGTGACATTGCAGCCAGCCACTGATGACACACTTGATGTGAATGACAATGACTCACTGTCACTGTTAGAAGATGCACAATTGAAGTTGGTAAATATGCTACTGATTCAGGTCACTGAGACCTCAAAAACAGAGTGATCAGTTCTTGTTGACCTATGCCCAAAAGTAGCTGATCTCAGCACAAAGAAGTGCTATATTAATGTCACAGAAACACAGAAATCCTGTTTTAGAAGTGCACAGACAGAGGTGAGAGTCTTTGATCTCAGTGGTGGAGTGTTAAGAGAAGAATTCTCTATGATTCTCAGATGACAGCTTCAGAAAAATTGCTAACAGCCTTACTGACCAAGCTAAAAGAAACTATGACCAACTCAAAAAAAGTCTCATTTGTGAAGAAAAGAATTCAAAAATAAACCAAGCTATGAGGTTATGAACAGAGCAGTGGCAATAAAAGGTATCAAAGTGATGTAAAAGAGATTCCTGAGGAACTGTAAACTGAATAAAATTCACAAGATACCGAGTGATGCTTATGTCAGAATATGGCATTTCTAAAAGGAAGAAACTGTTCTGCAGTGGAAAAGTTAAATACCAGCAACTGTCACTAAAATCCCATGAACTGTTAAGCACTGAGAGGTGCTAATATAGTGTAAAATTCTAGGAAGATGTAAGGAGATGAATAAATGTTGAAATACAGTGAAATAACTTTGCCTCTATCCTATTACTCAGCCATTTTTTTTTTCTAACAGAAAAACACACAGGTCACAAATCTTGGTAGGCTGCAGGCAATAGGGAAATCTTGCCTTCAAATTCAGAACAAGCAAATATCTTCTTTATGCAACAAGAAAGAATTTCTTTGGACTTTAGATACCTCTAGATACAATTCCTCTATCTTTGGGGGGAAGATCATCTTCCAGTACATCTGTGGCTTATAATGAGCTTCCTTCAGTATGACAACTAAAGGAATCAACACGACAGAAAATACATTTGCTTGGAGGTTTTTCTTCATTGCTATGTGAACACACACATATATAACATAAATACCAGTGTCCTGAAGTGCCTCACCTGAGTAGTTGCTAATCCATTACTGATGTTGAAGCCATTGATAGTAATCTGAATTTGCCCACGGTTTATCATCTCAATCACAGCCTCTGCAATGGTGTTCATAGGGATCACGGGCATGCTGAGGGCGGCATTGCCATCGGCGTTGTCACAGCTGTCAGGACACTTCATCTGAAATAAATCACACAGGGGTCAGAGGAGTTCCACCTGCAGGCCCCAGGATTGTACACAGACAAGAGCAGCTCTCACCTTAACGATCTTGACATCAGGAAGGCTGTCCAGGAATGCCTTCAAGTCAATGCCATTCAAAACAATCCTGTTATCATAAATATGGCCATTGGACTTGAAATCAATCACTGCTTTTTTCTGTCAAAAGAAAAGATTTCAAGAAGTTACAAGACCCCTTACCAATACTACACCAAGTGCCATTTCATAAAGACACCTATGGAAAACACCTACTTTACTTCCAACGTACCTTCAGATGGGGGAACATGTTGGCATGGTCTCCAATAAAGAAAGTGTTCGGCATATAAGCTAATTTCTCTGAATACTGCTCAGCCACCTCAACTGGTGAAGTTTCTTTGTCTGTGATGATATAATCCATGAACAATGCCCCACTGGTTCCAGGATATCCTAGCCACATTGCCTAAAAAACAAGAAAGCAAAGCTTCAGTTCCATGTGCATTGCAAAAATCAAGGCAGTTAAAAATCAATTTTAACTTACATTTGCCACATACAGGTTCAAGTTTCTTTTTCTGCTTTACCACCTGAAGATCAACCCCTAATTCTACACTTTCCATACCAAGACAGTGAACAGCTCAAATATTCTCTAAGATTGATCTCTCAAGCAAATTTTCCCCACAATGTGCAGCTTGAAGGCAACGATCAGTAAATACAGCTTCTCTCACCTGAGACAACTCCTGTAGTCTAGAATGACTCTGATTAAGGTTCTTCTCATTCTCTTTCCATAGGCATTTTAGAAAATCCTCAGTCAAAAAATCTCCCCAAAAAACTCCTGACATTGCCCCTGGCTTACTAAGAGTTTAGTTACCTGAATAGGTGCTGGTCTCAGGGCAAACAATTCATTTCGGGCTCCTTTGGTGTAGCCATTCATGTTAATGAGAATGTGAATCCCGTCCTGATGGATGCGGTCTGCTGCTTTTCCATTACACGGTATCTAAGAATAAATAAATAAATAAATAAATACATACATACATAATTTTTTGTTTTCAGTCTCCCAGCAATAAATGTGGTTAGTCATCAGTGTAACAATGGACAGATGCCAACTGCATAATTTAATTTAAGTGAGACTTAAATCTTGTTAATTCTGGCTTTACAGAAGTGTAAATCCTCAATGCAGCAGCAGAGCTGAGTAGCAGTAAAACAAAAGCTAAAGGCCAGAAACTGAGGTTATAGAAACCAGAACACCCTCCCCCACACCTAATTAGTAATTAAAGCTCACACAGGGCAAGTGACACGTTCACAAACTAAGGCAGTACAGAAGATCAAAATGAACATCAACAATAACCCAGTTAATTACACTACAGGGCTTTGCCTTGACTTCTGTGTATACTGAAATCCTGGTCAGTTTTCACACTGAACCTAAGGCAAGCTTCAATGTATTTGCAGTTGTGACATCTTGACTTCTCCATGACATTTAAATATGACTTATCTTGAGACTTAACGTGAGAGTTATTAAATATTGATGTTACTTTTTAATAATCAGAGGTCACAAGATAACCACCACATCTGAAGTAGGGCAAAATGCCAATACAACTACAAATTTCAAATTCTCGAGACTAACATCAGCCTCATTCAAGAAATAATTGCAACTAAGAATCTCAAACCACAGATTCATTTCTTTCTTTATTTAGAAAAACTTAGGTTTGCTAGAAGGTCAATGCATAAAACAAGCTCACCTGAGATAAGTCAATGAAATGATTTGCTTCAGCCATCACTTTTACACGGAAGTTTGTCCCATCATCAGGACTCAGGGCATAACAGAATACCTAAAATAAGAGGCACCAAAAATTGAGTATCTATGACAACTTGTCCGTAAAATAACTGTGCTATATTGTGATTTTAAATTACATCTAGTTTCACACTAATCATAGTTATTTACATGGTATTTACCAGTTGAGAAAGAAGCCAAGAAAGAGGCATTGAGCCATCTTTCAACACATTTGAACCAGGCCTAGCTCAGTGCCAGAGAATGGCCCTGCATCCTGCACAGACATATATCCAATCTTCTCATCAGTGCAAGGCAAAGTAACCTTAACAGACAGATCTGCATGAGAATTAGATGTCTAAGATGCCTTCAAGTCACCTCTGACTTTGTAATTAGTGAGAATCATAACTATGAATCAGGTTGAATAGGCAAGCCAAGCCTCAGGGAAGCTTTTTAACAGTGACTGGTTCTCCCAAGTAGGAAACCACAAGTGTATCTGAAAACAGCACTTCATATTGGTAAAGGAGGATGATTTGGGCTGAAGAACTCATCAATCCATTAAAAAAAAACAATCCCAGAAGCAAAAATTTGCTCTTTCCTGATTTAATTGCTTGCACCAAGGGGAAAAAAAGTGCCACTTACAGGCATATTTAGAGCTTTAAGCATGCCATTTTTATTTTTACCTCGAATTTGTCTGGGTTATGCATGCCTGGAATTGACTGCATTAGGTGTGAGGTCGGATGGTTTCCAAAATCAGAGCTCACGTAGCCAATACGCAGTCGACCTTCACTGGCCTTCAAATCCTTGGGATGCTCATATGGTGGCTTGTGAAGAACATTAATCTGCCAAGAAACACACAAGTATTTAAAAACCCAGGAATTAAAATCTAAACAAAGGGATAAAACTCCCCTAGGAGTTTGCAGAATTAACCTTATCCCACATTCAAGCAGGCAGTCATGGACATCTGCTGTTCCAAACCTGTGCTCTACGTATTCCACTGGAGCCAAGTGCGGTGCCCACACACTGTGTCACAAGATGTGATGTCGCTGCTCTCACACAAATACAGACACCACCAGCACATTTCTGCTTTTCAGTATTCCACCCCAATTATTAAATATCCTGATACCACACCACGATCCTCAGGAATTTCTCAAACCACAAGTCACTGTTGACCAGAACAGCATTGCTGTAAGCCACCACAGTGTTTTTCTGTTCTTTGCTCTCCATCTTGTCCAGGCATCAGCTGGCAACCACTATCTCTGACAGGATTATCAGGCTACTCAGACAAGTCACTGTGACAAAGTGTTACCTTCCATTAGTTAACTGGACCCTCCCACCAGCTGACAGCACATTTTTAATTATAAATGGCACCTGCACAAGTAGTCTGTCTCAAAACTCACAAGCACTAATAGCTATGAACATTACATCCCACCTCTTCACATGTCAGTGACTCAGAAAGCTTACAAAGGCTAATACTGACAAATTGAGTATTAGATTTTGAGTAGGAACAGACAAAGCCTCAAAGGACTTCAATCAACAACTGGCCTGTACAGAACTTCCTACCTTGTCCAAACAGAGATTTCCATGTCTCTCAGCAATTGCCTTCCTAAAACTGTGAGACAGGGGATACAGCATGCTATGATGTGGGTGTACAGAGGGCAGTCTGTTTTTCTCCAGCTGATCAGCTACAATGCTGACCAGCTTCTTCATTCTTTCATCATAGTCTGTCCAGTCACAGACAATCTATAAAGAAAGAAAAACAAAGATTACAACAACAGCTTCCACCAGCCTGTATCAGTTATTTCAGAGGTTGAGATTAACTTTCTTCCAAAAATGGAAGTGAGAACTTCTGTAATTACTGTTAATGACTGTAAAATCTTATCTTCTAATTTAAGACTGAAGTCTTTCAAAGCCTCATCTTCCTCACCTGCAAACAGTGGGCCAAGTTGCAATAGGCATCTGGGAAATCAGGTTTCAGTTTCAGAGCAGTACGGTAAGAGGCAATGGCTTCTGGTATATTCCCTGAATCCTGTGAAGATACAGAAATGAGTCAGCAGGTAAAAATATCCTCAGGGTAACTACTCACAGTGCCCCACCACTCTTCTAAGAGTGAATCATTCCCATGTGCTACCTTGTGAATCGAGGCCAGGTTGCTGTGGGCATCAGCAAAAGCTGGGTTTATCTGAATGGCACGGGTGTAGCACTGCAGAGCTCCCTGAACATCCTGCATCTCCTTCAAAGTGTTTCCCATATTAGAATATGCATCTGCAAATGTGGGGCTGATTCTGAAAAATAAACATAATATGTCATGAACAAGAAAAGCTCCTCCTCTGATGAGAAAACAGGTTCATATCCAGACTTTTCCATTTGAAGAGCAACTATGAAAATTACAACACATGACTAAATCATCTTCTATACAAATCCAGGCACTTTTCCATTAGGAAAGGCTGGGACTCTTACAGGGAGTATCCATTTACCTAATAGCCTCTTTGTAATGCATCAGAGCTTCCTGTAACTTGCCCTGCTGTTGCAGAACACTTGCTAAGTTCGAATGTGCTGCAGCAAACTCTGGAAACACCTGGAAGAAAAAGAAGTTGACTGTGTCTCAAACATCACAGCAAAAATAGTTATGCATTTATTATTGTATTTTCTTACATTTTTTTTTAGAGAAAGGGGAAGAAAACCTCTGTCCTATTACACATTCCCATGCAGAACCACCCCCTCTCCCCCTCACACCCAGCTGTACCTCAAGAGCCTTCCGATAAAGCCGCACAGCTTCCTCAATATTGCCCTGCTCCCGCTTGATGTTTGCCAGATTGTTGAGTGAGTCTGCATGAGTGGGACAAAGTCGAAGGGCTGTGTTGTAGCATTCCTCTGCTTCTACCACCTTCAAAAAAGGGGCACTGTTAATATTTATTGTTATTATTTATAATTATGTAATGTTATTTATTATTATTTATAACACTACATTTATTGTAAAAGCACTGGTTATGAAAAGTCATCATACAATCACTTTTAAAAGGTTCAAGATGGAGATTTCCTGAATTATTCTTCCTTTTAAGTGAGGTTAACATCCATCTTAACAACTTGCTCAACAACTTAACAAACTGGTGACAGCTGGTGCCTATTAAAAAAGCATTCACAGTAATTTTAAGCAGAAAGAAGTGCTCCTTACACTGCCTTTCTCCTTCAAGGCATTGGCCAAGTTGCAGTAGGCGTCAGGGAAGTGGGGCTGCAGCTCAATGGCCCTCCTGTAGGTGTCTATGGCCAGGTCTATCAGGCCCTGCTCATAGTACACACAGGCAAGGTTGCCGTGCACCACTGCGTGATTCGGGCTCAGACTCAAGGCTCGCAGGTAAGCTGCCACAGCTCTGCAACAAAACAAAGGAAAAAAGAGGTAAACAATCATCAAATAAAAAGGTAAACAATCACCCAGAGAGCAGGAATTATTTACCTTGGTACAGTGCATACTGAACAACATTAGGTCTTCTGGAAAACAAGGAAAGCTTTCAGGTTCTTTTTTTTAACACTTGTCATTACTAGGAAAAACCCCTCTTTTTCCTTACCCCATTTTTTGCCAGTTTATTATTCAATTTTAACAAGATAAACAGTATCACATTACATCTTTATTCTCATCACTAACCTACCATTAGTTAGACTTAAATCATCACTTTGTTCAAAAGTGAAATCCTTAATTATATGATCCTATAGCACTATATAAATGGCTGATGTATTTAAATCAAATTTCTAGGAAAACCATGTATCTGTAAGTAAATCTTTAAAAGGTGAGGCAAAATCTGAAATTACAGAAAAACATGCCTCTGTTTGGTCCTCTAATTCATGATGCAATCAGACATCACTGAGTCATTTAGACTGTGTGCAATGCAGATAATTAACCTGTTCCCTGCAAGCTTTTATTAAATCTGGGGCCACAAACCACAGCTATCAGAAATTAAAAACCAATTAACAGATGCAATATGCTACACTGCATATAAACAGAACAGCCTGGATCTTTTCCCAGAAACAGCAGACTCACGTATCGGATTAGAGGTCTCAGAACAGGTTAGTTCAGCAACACAGCAACACTACTGCAACCCAAGGCAATAACATCAGGCAGACATGTCAGAAATACAGAATATTCAATCACATATTTAGCTGAATTCTGCCATTCCAGTATGTCTCACACAGAAGAGAAATTTTAGAAGAGACACACTTGCAAATCATGTTCTGAATCACTTAATGAAAACAGAGAAATCTAGCATTCAGCTCTTTCTTGTGCATCTTATTTTCACCCTCCCGAGCCCTAATTTCAAATCTATTTTCATCAGAAACTCTTGGTTTTGACAATGCATTAAGTACAAGAAAGCAACATGAAAGAATACATATCACTGGAATTTTTTATTTTTATTTAAATAGACCAGGAGCCTGGTCTGTCTGCACTTCAAAGCCATTTGCTGGCTAAGCTTAGACTTGAAGTCTTTGCTACCACAGACAATTTACAGAAGGAACACAATCTGTATCTTGATATATCTGCCAAGCCACAGAGAGCAACAGTACTGATCTGCTTACCTGTCAAATATCCTTGCCTCCTTCAGAACATTTCCCAGATTGATATAAGCATCCAAAAAATTTGGGTCAAGTGTTACAGCCTGAAAATGGTTTTGAAGTAAAAGTTTTGAGCATTAAACACAAACATATTTCCTATGAAACTGAGTTGTTTGCTGCTTTTTAAAAATTAGATAAATATAATCTGTAAGTTTTTAAGACTTTATCAATAATCCAGTAAGGAAGGAAAACACACAAACCAATCACAGAGCAAAGTTTATTATCTGTAGAAGTGAAGCATGGACTACCTTCAAATTTATTTGTTTGCTAACCTATTGAGTTGCAACTACCGCAGAATAAAGTGTTAAGCATTTATTTCTCATTAGGCTGATCATACTTAACACTCCTGTCTACTGATGCTACGTTGTCTTTAGCTTGTTTTTAGAGAAGAAACCATAAAAAACCCTTATCTGTATCCTGTACCTACTGCAAAGTAAAACAGAATTTTAAAGCTTTACCAGTGCAGGAGAACAGGCTGTTCACAAGATCAAGGAAATAGCAAATACATCACATGTGTAGGGAAAACTGAGTAGCCATCTAACTAAAACATCTTTGCTCCCTTCAAAACTAATAAAAAGCAAAAAATCACTTAAAACTGACGAAGTTACAGAAACTGCAGCATAAAGCTACATATGAGTATTTGACAAGCCTCACTCTTACAGTCTTATGGGAATTATTAATTCCATATTAAAATACTTCATCTATCGTGGACTAGACACAGATCCAAAAAAAAAAAAATTTTGAGCAGCTAGGCTTTTTTCTGTACATTTCAAGCCATGAGTTTCAGGAAGAAATTGTTGCCACGTCTTAAATTCTGCTTTAGGGCACTCTAGAAACTTCAGAGATGAGGACAAAATTAATTACGATGCCAATTAGACACTAGTTGGAAGGTCTCAAACAACTCTTAATGACACTAATCTAGGGAAATCTGAACAGTAGTGAAAAATAACCATGGAGAAGAGGAATTAATGTGTCACTTAAAATTGTTCCTCTCAATTACTCAAAGGACAGTAATACCTGAACAAAAATCCTAAGGCAAAATGATTTAAGCACCAAGTTGATTCTTTCTCTCACACACAAAACAGTATCATCAAATCAGGTTTTTAAAAAATTTAGTACAGGAAAGGGCTGAAGAAGAATTTAATTAATTTTCTCGTATTTGACATGTGTGAAGTCCTAGGGGAGTTTTAAGTGTCTCTACTACCATCCAGGCCATTTGAAACATCAGCAAGTTTAAAAAAACAATTAACAGGATCACATAAAGTTCTCCACTACCAAAATATTTATCACCTGCAAGCACAGAACTGCATGTACATTTAAATCTAGCAGTGAAGCTGACTCCCTTAGGTAGTTACCTTTTCAAAGTGATGAATTGCAAGCCAAATTTCTCCTTGGGCATTGAAAACACAGCCAAGATTACTCCAAGCCACTGCAAAGTTTGGTTGAGTCTCAATTGCTTTTAAGTAACACGCCTTGGAATAGTTAAAGAAGAGAGATACAAGGGAAGGGGAATATTTGTAAAAAGAAAAAAATGAGAAAAAATAATTGTTAGTATGCCTTCTCTAACCAGCCAAAAGTGACCCTGCAGTATAGGCTAGCTTGCGCCAAAACTAATGCGCTGCAAACTGTTGTTGATCCTGCGCCAGCGCAAACCAAAACCCAGGTGCAAGCCCACCATTTTTCAGTTATGCTGTAACAGATTAACATTCCTTCAGACACTAGACTGACACAAAAATCATCTTAGAAACAACTCAAGTAGCTCACCAGAAGATCTGCTGCCTTTAAGTGCATAAAAATGAAAAAATTACCGTGTAAAAACAACTTTACTGTGAAACAAAATTTTCCAATATTCTAAAGCTGATAGAAATTAGTTAAAAAAAAATCAAAAAAGAAAAAAAAACTACTGAAAAAGATAAAGTTTAAAGTGTGCTTGTCAAATGCGATGACACACCCCAGCCACATCTTGTTCCCCAGTTCCTTTAAACACAATTCAACCTCTCCTGCAGCTTCAAAACCTCAAATGACAGGATTGCACGAAGGTTTAGGTCCCTGTAATGCAAGCGCAAGAAATCGCTGCGCATCCTACCCAGCACGGCGCCACGCTATCGCTGCGAACTGCTTGGCTCTAGTGATCGCCCCAAGGTGCAGTGAACAGCCAACCAGAATCATTAATCTACCAGACAGGCCCACACAAAACTCGCATGTTAAATTTGATGTCTGGACTGTGGAAATGCGTTACAAGCCAATTTTTGTTCAAAAGGCTGCAGCCTGGAGCTCGGGCAGTCGCCCGATCAGAGATTAATCATCGAGTCAACCGTTCACGGGGGCTTGAATCGCACGCAATGCGCGTTACCGCTGCGCAGCCTTTGCGCTACTGCAGGATCACAGCGCATCATCAGAAGAGCAGAACGCTGCAATCCAAACAAAGAAGAAAAAAGGAAAAAAATGAACAACCGGAAGAGTTAGAAGCTTTTACTATTAACTATCTCCAATTATTTCTTTAAAAAATATTTTAATTTACTTTTACTTTATTTCTTTGAAAGAATTTGTGGCTAATAGTATAAAATATTCTTACATTACTTGCTTGTAATTAAATATTTTAAGCTGTTTCTGAAGCCACAAGACAGAAGATTCAGGCATGGAGGCAAATGGTTTTGCTGTGGCAGTTACAAACCCGTTACCATATTTCTCATCATGTGACTTTTCGGTGCGTTCCTTGCTGGAAGAGGAGGAGGAGGTGTGTGTCTGCCCTAGATCCAGGCCTCGAGCTCCCTTCAGCGAGGCACCTTACGCATGGAATAGGAGGTTTCACCCACCTGAAACCTTCTAAATACAATATCAGTGGTGAAAAACCAAAAACAAGAGAGAAAATAAAACAAGATCATTAGTAAGAGTTCAACAAAGCAATTGCATTTTTTTGGATATGTCTTAACACATGGGAATGAGGATAATCTGTCTGTAACAAGGGAGACATGCAGAAGGGAGAGGGTTAATCGGGCAATTGCATACAGCAGGGACTTTTTTTTTTTTGGAAGAAAGGCTCTGAAACATCTACAAAGAAATTAAATTTTAGTTCAAACTGTAAGGAATCTGCTGGCTTGATCTTTCAAATGGACTGATAACCAAAGAAACACATTGCAATTTACTCGAGATGTTTTTCCTCGTTTATTAAGTTCTCACAAAACGGAATAACACTTTCAAACTAGGTGTCTCCAGAGCTCTGAAACAAAGAAGTCAGCAACCTAAGGCAGGCGCAGTGTCTTGGCCTATACCAGTCACACTAAAGCTGCAGTGAAGTGCAATTCATGTTAGCTGTCCGCTTGGTGGGCTGAGAACCAAGTGTCTCAAAGACCGTTCAACTCCGAATGCCGCTACACAATTGTTTTCAACCTGGATCCGACCAAATCAATCAGGCTGCTCTAGGGTGGTACACGCATCCAAGTTGTTCATGAGAAACAAAGCAAAATTGAATTTGGATCCTGCTGTCCCCGTTACCCCACAAAGACGCCCGCCCTCCCCAGCTGGTGCTGCAGCCAAACAGACAGCTACGCTGTTCATACACTCCACTTTGAGCATGCGCGTGGGGCTTGGAGCGACAGCCGTGGAGCCCAGAGCGGCTCTGCCTTCTCCACACTCCTCACCCCGGCAGCGCGGACGCGTAAGGTGGCTTGTAACAAGACAATTTCTTTCTGCAATCCCAATTTTAACGTGCCAAGAATTTGAAACTCATCTTGGTGTTCGAATTGTCGGTTTAGGAAACGCACGACTGCTAGAAGCCACCTTTCCACTACAGCAAGTTTTCTTTTGATCAGTTCATTTACCAAACAAACCAGCTTTGTCCTTCCGATTTCTTTATTTTGGGGGAGGGGAGAGGGAAGACATGAAGAAAAGATATTGGGGATGGGGGTGGGAGGGTGGTGTGTGTCGCATACTGCAGCTATTATTTACTAGCCTTTCTTCCACTATCAAGGGAAGGGAAAAGTTAAAAGAATAAAAATCTTTAAAAGCCAATATTACAAGGTAACATTTGGAAAGTTTCTTCTCCACTTACAAGCCACAAAGGACTTTAGAAGAGCGGCCTTTTCAATAGCACCTGCATCGTACAGGGATCTCGAGCTAACCACAGGCTCTCTGCTTGGCAGCAGCAGGCAAGCCTCAGATCTGAAGGATTGTTACTTATTTCCAGATGAAAGCATGATGGAGCCCCTGCCCAATACTTCAGAATGGTATCAGATAGTCTAGTTCAGCAGCAAGGCTTGGTAACTTTCCATTTCTTGACTTAAACCAACTTTTTAAACATGGACATGCCATATCTTGCCCTGCAACTACTCTGGGGTGTTTCAGTGCCTTCAGTTTTCAGAAGTTTCTCGGACTGTCTGTTGATCAACGCAGATTTGAAGACTTGGTGCAAAGTTCAAGTTTTCAAAACACTGATGTTTACATATATTCTACCCAACACCTACCTTGGCTTCTTCCAAGCGACCCAGGGCTTTGAGCAGGTTCCCCAGGTCACTACGAACACAGTACAAGTCCTGAAAAATCAAAATCACACCATCAGCTTCAGGACTTCACACTCCCCACAGGTCTTCACAGAGAACTTGCAAGGAACAACCCAGTCCTCGAAAGCTTAATTTGGATTCTTAATAAATACATCACAAATGGAAATTATTTTTGACGTAAGATTACCAACAACAAATAATCTGAGCAAATTTAGTACTGTAAAAGTACAACTGTAAAGAATTAACATGAAGTAGTATTTAATACAGTTCCTTTTATACAGAAATAAAAAACTGAAAATAAATGCCTCCCCAGCAGCTTAAGTCCTTTTGCCACATGTAAGCATTTCAAGCCCTTTTTTTTTTAAACCACAATGCCAAACCTGTACTCTTAAGATACACCATTGCCATTATGGCTTTCAAATAAGATATGTAAAGTGATTTTGCTGCCTGTATTCCTAAAGAAGTTTTCCTCCCTGTTTTGCCCACTAATCCATCCTTTTCCAACAGCTTTACCCCATGTTCTTGTTGTTTCATTTGTTTGAAAAGAAAGCACAATCTGCAACAGCATTATCCAGCAGTAAAGACCAGAGAGAATGTAGACATTTTGTCAACACTAAAGAAAGGATTTACTAACCTAAACAAAACTCAACTCCTGCAAAAAAAAACATCAAAAAAACCATCTCACATTATTCTAACCAGTGCATCCACTAGTCACACCACCTGGCATATTAAGTCAGACAAGTTCACATTGGCTTAAGAAAAGAGAAATAAGGTTCAATAAGTCTCTTGTTGGACTGGGTTTGCTTTTCCTACAGAAAAAGGATTTATGCCCATGGGACCAATGCTGCACTTGAAGTACTTTTTATCAAAATGTTTGACCAAAGGGCAAGCAAATACCTTTATCACACGGAGCAATACTATACAAATTTAATGAACATGATGCAAAATAAACAGAGGACAGCAGTCTGTTGTTTACTAAAAATGACAATTTGAAACAGTTACAACCAAAAATCCATACACCAGATCAATCAATCTTATAGGAGTCACTCACAGTCAGTCAGTTTCAGCCTATAAAACCTAAATGATGCTCCTGTAAACCAGCCCACAACAGAAATCTAACTCAGTCTACAGCAGTAATTTACCAAGGCAACGCTCATTGCCATCAAATTTCTGACTTTGTGATAAAGCAACACCTGGTGATTTTCCAAGATCTCACATTCAAGTCTAAGCATCAATTCTCTCACTGTAGTACTACCTTAAAGCACATAAAGCTAAATATGGGGGCATTCACTGAAGCTTCTGCCTTCAGAAGAGAGAAACCAAACCTTGCTTAGCTTTTATCTAAAAAGTTAAGTACGTTCCATATAGACAAAAGCAACCAACCAGCAGCCCCTACTGCAATACACAATTTATTGTGGCAAAAGCCTCTCAAAGATCCTTAAAAATAGTATTAACTGCTTAATTAAGTTTATGGTATACAAGCTGGAAGGGTTATCTATTGTTCATGCTTTGAAAGCTGCTACTTTTGTGTCTTAAGGCAGTAATAAAGAATGGACTTCCATAAAATAAAGCATTACTTACAGGATTGTACTGAAGGGCAGACACATAGGCCTGTACTGCTCCTTCCATATCACCTGCAGCTACGAGTGCAGCAGCCAAATTAATATATCCATCAATGAAATCAGGTTTGAGGCGCAGTGCATGTCTGTAATGCTCAATTGCTTCCTGCAGCTGTCCACGCTCCTTGTACACATTGCCTAGGTTTGAATAGGCTTCAGCCAGCAGTGGGTTCTGTTTGATTGCCAAAGTGCTGAAGTGAGCAGACCTGGAGAAAGCAGACCAGTCAGCAAATAAGAAACCATGACCCAAAAACAAACCCAAACCACCCGAACAAACCCACCCTTGACATTCAGTGTTTGTCTGTTTATCTAGTCACTCTAGTGAACATTCATGCTTAGGTGAGCCAAACACAGAGCCAGCAAATCTGGCCTTACAGAGCTGTCCTGTATCTTTATCCACCCACTTTAAACTCTGATTGCCCTGGTTCCCATTTTAGGCTGTACTGAACAAAGACAGCTCTCATTTAGTCAGAAGGGTTCAAGTTGCCTCACCAAACCTGAGCTCAACACACTTGGAAAAAACACTGCAGGAATCCCTCTTCCAACATCTGTATGAATGTTCCACTTGATATTCTTTTCAAGCAGCAGGACATGACTTACATGTAAAGTTCTGTTATATCCCCACTCACTCTATTTTCCCATATCTGAACTACTATGACTTCAATCAGAAGACTGTATAAAACAAACCTAAGTCAAAAGTTCTTACTTGCTTCACCAGCAAACATGAATTTACAGCTAGAACAAGTGAAATTCAAAATGCTAGAGGCACAGAGAGCAAGATCAGGAACAGGCAAGCAGAAAGAACAAAGAAACAACTTTCAGACCACAAAACTTCTTTAACTAATACACATCAATACAGCTGATGTTCCAATGTTAATTAATATGTTCAATATCAAAATAACACACCAACAACGGCAAGGCCTCCTGTCTGTTGTAAAGCTGATGAGTCCAAGCAAAACTCCAGAGGGAAGCAGCAGCAGCCTACCTGTCCAGTCGGCGGCACTGGAAGTGAATGGATGACAGCAACAAAAGCACACCAGTGTTATCAGGCTCCTGCCTCCAGAGCTGCATGCAGTGCCTCTCTGCTGCTTCAAAGTCTCCTGCCTGATACTCACGATGAGCCAACTCCGCTAACCCTTGGAAGGAAAGCATACGTTTCGTTGGTTCTGGAGAGTCACCAAAACATTTAAAGGGGGAAAACAAAAAGTTAGATGATGGGAACAAAACAAAACCAAAACAAAACAAAACAATGAAAAATAAAATGTATACAACTAATGGATAAAAATGTTTGAAATGATATGGAACACTACAGCAGGTGACAGTTGGGATTCTAAGATCTTATCTGTACCAGATCTTGACTCCATCAGCTAATAATAACAAAAATGCAGACTGTAACGACTGTGAATATTTGCAATTTAATCACTTCCATTATTCTGAAAGAGACTCCTGTCATGATATGATATTTTAGTTCCTAACAGTGGAAGTGCTGCTAACAGAACAATGACTCTCCTCACTCCTCCCCACGACTGAAAATCCTATGCTTTGCTAAGTAAAAAAAAAGTTCTAACAATTTCACAGGGAAATGAAAAACATGAGACAAAGACTTTAATAAAGGACTTGAACAAAATAAAGTTTTGCTGTGCAAGTAGTGAAAATTCTTAAAAAAAAAAAGGCAAAAAAAGCACAATGGGTAACATTCATTGAATCCTACATACTCCTATATTTCCTCTGAGTCAAAATCCTTTTACAGAAGAAAAATGGTCTTGGAACAACAATATCTGATGAAAGACAAACACAGACTTCAATGATTATGCAACTGGCCTACAGGAGGAACCATTAAACAGACAGGGTACAGGAAAGGAGTTACTGCTCCTGGAGGCTTAGCTGGAACAGGAGTGACAAAACAGTTTTAGTATTTAATACCCAACTGTGGAGAACGAAATACTTAAATGAAACACCACCTGTTTTAGGCAAAACAACCAGAAGTGAGAGAAGGAAAATTTCTTACAAATAAGCAAGTGCAACTTGGAAAAACCCACAACCATTCATTGTAGAAAGAAGTGCTGGCCTTCAAATTCTGCCTTTATACCAACAACTCTTACTATTAAAATGTTCGATTACTGCAAGTATCTCTCATCTTTCCTCCTGTACTCTGCAGCCCCTCCATTCCATTCATTATACATTTCCCACCTCATCCTACAGATTTAAAATTTGGAATCTAAATGAAACAGTTAAACCTTTCCTAATACAAGAAAGCACCTCAATAGCTGAGCCTACATTTTTGTAGTGAGGTAGTACAAAAGTTCATGCTTTTGTGAGAACTTTAAAGACAGCCAAAATAATCATAAAGAGATTAGGTGCAGATTTACTACCCAGTGTTTATTTCATGAAATTGGGATTGATGCAATTCATTTAAATTACTTTCAAATTTGGGGTTTTAGCACCAGTAGGTTTTAACACAAGACTGCAAGTCCTGTATAAGTACAGTAGTTTTTCCAGATACTGCACAGTCTCTGTCAGTGCTATAAACTGTTTCACAGTAAAATGGAACTACCACTGCCACTCTCTTTTTCAGATAATTCACAAATTAGTAACCAAGTAGCCTTATCCAGATTAGATTCCTGTTTTTTAAACCCTGACTAAGGGCAAAGTGGACTTCACGATCTGATTAAACCGACTGGCAAAGATAAAAAGGTACAACCTTTATTCAACATGAGAATGTTGAACTCTGGTTGAAAATCACTCCACTAATAAATGGTGCTGACAGCAACACTGGGCACCAGCAGAGCGTTCCTGTGCTGTTAACAGGTTCTGCCCTTCTGGCATTTCCAACTTCCGCTGATGGCACAGAGAAACCAGAGACAGGAAGAGCACGGCTCGTGTGCTCAATTTCCTCTGCAAGTACATTTCAATTGTTTCAGTAAATTTCAAAGCAGGGAAAAAAAGCAAAAAACACCCCAAAACATAAAAACCCAGAAGTTTACACTTCAAGGCTTATGACGGCAGGGAAAGAGGCTTTCAGTCGCTATTTCAAGGCTACATTTTGCCTACTTAGAGCAAGAAGTCAAACTGAAGTTGTAACTTCCAGGCCAAGAGAGCAGGAGGTGCAGATTTAATACCTGGGAATGAGAACTACTAACAAAAGCAACAAAAGAAGAAACACTGACACTTTCTTCCATTCATCAAGTGTCTCTGTTTACAAAACAAGCCATCCTTTGTCTCCAGAGATAAGGCAAACAGTGTAAAATTGCCAGTCATTTACCTCCAAGCATTTATTTTACAAACGACTGTGCAGAATTTCACTGAAAAGCAGGAAGTGGACAGCCACATCAGGAAGCCCAGAGTGACTGAAACTTTTTAATACAAACTTGGCTGGAAGTTATGCAGCGCAAAATATCCGTAAGACAGCCCATGAATGGATGCTCACTGAATCAATTTGTAAAGAAAATAACTGCAGTGAGGAGTCACAGCCAGGAAAATCCCTTTTCGTGTCTTGCATAAATTAATTTCTGTACCTTGGCTAATTTGTGCTGCATGCTTCAACTATGACCTTGGAAAAGTCTAGTACAGTGCTGTGACAATGACCTTCCCCGAGGCTTCCAGACAATACGAGCGAAACAAAAAGCTGCACAGAACCATCAGAAAGGCGCCCAAGGCCATTTTCCCCGACAAATGCCATCCTAAGCACTTGCAGTACACTCATGCTCAACCTTGCGCTCAGACAGCACCGAGTTCCCGGCAGAAGCAGTGGTTACCTCCAGCTGGGAGGTGCTGGACAGCACAGGATTCCTCCCAGCGCGCACGTGGCTCGCTTTACCCGCAGGGATCCAGGCTACAAGAGGATGCTGCAGCCTCGCTGGCCACACACACTGTTCTAGCTGAGGAAGTACCAAACACCGTGCTGCAGCACATTTCTGTATCATTACCGATTCTCTTTAGACCCCTATCTCCGCACTCTTATCCCGTCTCTTTCTCCAAAAATCCTCCTTTTCCTTCTGCTTTTCCCAAGCAACATTTCAGCTCTTCCTGCCCCTCTGGTTACAGAAATACCCAAAATCTCGGGCATAAAGCTGTGCTGTCCTTTCATCCTTTCAGTAAGCACAACACTTCTTTCTCTTGCCCTACAGAGAGAGTCAGATTTCTCCTCCATTCCTTAAGTTCCTAAATTTAGGGCAGGATCTTTCCTTGATACAACACGCTATCTTACTGTTCAGAAAAGCGCTGTAGTGTCCGGCTATGCCACAGAATCACACAACGGTTTGGGCTGGAACGGACCTTAAGGATAATCTCGTTCCAATTCCACTGCCATGGGCAGGGACACCTTCCATTCCACCAGGCTGCTGAAAAAAAACTGCTGCCTAAGTGCAGCGAGCGATTCTGGGCAAAGCTACACACATTTTGGGTCAGGCTTTTCGCCTACTTCGCCCTCTATCGCAGTCACCTGATAGTCTGATAAATATAGCAGCGAGCCCGCCGCACTCACACCTCCCCGGCA